AAGAAAAGATACTAAAATAGTAGAAGTCATTGTATTTGTTTATAGTTTATTGTATTTTCCAGATTTTCTAGAAGTATTGCTGATTTTTTCAAATCACATTTTTCCTTTGTTTAATACAAGGAACAGTACCACCAGCACTGGTCTTAATCTTATGGGGCATAAGTTTTTACGTTTGTTTTTTTTTTTTATTTTTGTCTTTAAAAAAAAGAACTATAAAACAGAGGAGAGAGTTGAAAGGGGAGGAGAAGGTGGGAGCAGCTCTTTTGTCCTGATTAATCTCTGCTATAAGGTAGCAGACAATAATGACATTGTCATTATCTTTTTAGAGCCAAGAAAGAGGCTCAGAAATGCTCAGGCTCTGGTGGCTCATGCCTGTAATCCTAGCACTCTGGGAGGCCAAGGGGGGAGGATCGCTTAAGGTCAGAAGTTCGAGACCAGCCTGAGGAAGAGTGACCCCCTGTCTCTACTAAAAATAGAAAGCAATTAATTGGCCAACTAAAAATATATTAAAAAATTAGCTGGGCATGGTGGTACATGCCTATAGTCCCAGCTACTCAGGAGGCTGAGGCTGAAGGATTGCTTGAGCCTAGGAGTTTGAGGTTGCTATGAGCTAAGCTGAAGCCACAGCACTCTAGCATGGGCAACAGAGTGAAACTCTGTCTCAAAAAAAAAAAAGAAAAGAAATGCTCAGGTTCAAGGTTACCCGAGGGGCAGAGCTGGGCTTCAGACCCAGGCTGTGGGGTTCTTGGTGCTCCCCACAGCCAGGACTGAAAAGAAATACAAAAGAAAGGGCATAAGGAGGTGAGTGCAAAATCACAGCAGTGATTTATATCATAATAAAAAAGGTTGGTGTTAGTGGGTAGAATTGTGGGTGACTTTTTTTCCTCCTCTCTTCTCCAGATTTCCTGTAAGATGATATCAACTTTTTATTTATGTGCAAGAAAAATACTTCAACCACTTGAATTCACTGAACTATAGGCAGCAAGAAAGAAAACAGGCTTTCCTCACCCAGGCCCACTGCTATGGGGAATAAAGGAGCTGGAGCTAGGGGGTGAGAGAAGGCAGGCCACACGGCCCCCACGTGCCCAAGCCACACACAGCACCACGGGGCTGCAGAGGCCTCGGGATTTGGTGGAAGAGCACGGAGCACGTGCATGTGCGTGTGCGTGCATGTGTTGTGCTGTGACCGCTGCCTGTGAGGGGCACGGTGTCTCTGGAGATCTCTGCAGAGGTGAGCCTCCGCACCCTGCCTGGCCCTGCACTTCCTCCACGCCGTTCACAACGGTCTCACTCACCAAGTAGGATGCTCTGTCGAGCGCATTTTCAAAAAGCTGTACACCTCTGTTAACCCCTGACAGCATCTGCAGTCACACAGCAGGACAAAGACATATGCTGAGGACAAGGCGACACTCGGGGTGACGAGGAATTGGTTTTGTTGGAGTGGGACCAGGGTGCACAGGCTGTGGCTGGGGCGGTCCTTCCCTGTCATTCTGCACGGCTGGCTGCTCTGATTGTGGAGGGCAGCGTTTCTCAGAGCGCGGTCTCGCCTCTGCGGGGACTCTCCATGCTCCTGGCAAGGCCGTGTGGCTCCGGCCCAGGTGAGAGGAACAGGGGAACTCTTAGTTATATAACTCAAACAAAAAGAACAACGAATGGGAAGCTATTTTTGCAGAGAATTTGCTAATCATCTTCCCACCCCAGTACAAAGTACTTTTATCTTTCCCATGTCTCTTGTCAATCCACGTTCATAGGATTCCCACACAGGTCTGTGGGTAGTCACTGTGCCCTCTTGGAGAGCCACTGCCAGAAAGCGGCTGGGATTCGGGAAGGACTGAGTAGTGAGGAGACAGCGGGGTGAATGTGGCGCAGGGAAAGAGATGCGGTGTGCTGGCTTGGCGGCTGGCAAAGTCGAGGTGATCTGCGTGGGTAAGTGGGGGTGGGAGGTGACACAGACAGGCACGTGCCAGAGCTGGCAGAGAGGAAGACAGCAGCGTAAAGGCCCAAGAGGACCTGAAGGGGACCAGCTCTCGAGCCACCTGTCCTGCGAGCACAGAACCTCTCGAGACATGCTGTCACATCATTGCCTAGCTTCCAGGCTCATGACATACCTGGGAGGTAGATGGGCATTTCACTATTTCATACAGATTTAATTCCCAGCGACAACCCCATTTGCCTAAGGTCACGCAGCCATGACAAAGCTCTAGGAGTGAGATGGGCTGACCCTAGATCTAGGATTCTTTCTGGCCCAGATACCACCGTGCCCTCTGGCAAGGCCAAGGGGCTCAGCCGCCCACAGGCAGCAGGAAGAAGACTGAGCTGTGGAGAGCAGAGGTAAGGTGAGGATGGGAGGAGAAGGGAAATGAAGATTATCCCAAGCTGATAAGACGGGAAGACAAGAGTCAGAGTATACGAATTTATAATGGATGAAGTCACTAAGGTGGGTGGACAAGGGACACGTTCACCTAAAGCCCTAGGTGACTTCCGGCTGCATGAGAACTACATCTCTCTTTCCCTTCGTCAAACTCACCCTGCTATCTCCTCACTACTCAGTCATTCCTAAATCCCAGCCACTTTCTGGCAATGACTCTCCAAGAGGACACAGTGACTACCCACGGTCTTGGGTGAGAATCCTATGAACATGGATTGATAGGGATATGGGGGGGTTGGTCACTGACTATTAGTTAATAAACCCCCTGGTGGCATTTTCCTAATAAGTCCTCACCTGAGGCATTGGGATGAGTGGGGGGCTGGGGCGGGGGGAGAAGCACTGTGCCAGGAGGCCCCAGTCTTCATTTTGCCCTATTCCCTCTTACTGTGTCACCTTAGACAAACCTTTTGGAAAATGAGAGGAAGCTAAGAAAATCATACGAAGTCCATGATCCTATGCCCACCCCCAAGACTCACATGTTTTTCATCCCCCTATTGACTCTGGGCAAAGAATGATTTTCAGTATCACACAGACCCTTTATTTTCATGAAAGTCAAGAACATACTAAAATCCAGGTGGACAAGCCCTCCCTGGGGACAGCGGGCTCCCTCTCACACCTCCCAAGACAAGGCACCCTCAGGACTGACCCCCCCCCCAGCACTGGTGTGACTTTCCTGTGCTGCGGGCAACTGCCCAGAGGATTCCTTCATTATAATCTTTCTATGAATCATTCAGGGTAAGTACCATCTGTTTGCATCTGGGGAAATAAAAACATAAAAGAGAAATGAGAATCTGTGGTGCAGCCAAAAATAGCACCCAGATATATTGGCTTCCCAGTTCACCTTTCTGTACTGTCTAGCTCTTCCTTGTCTTGCTTCACACAATGGGAGCAGACTGGGACCCTCGGCTCTCAGATATCTTGGATAAGTTATCAAGTTATCTCAGACTGAATGCTACGAGGTGGCCCAGCAGAACCAGGGTTCCCAATTCTGCCCCGTTCTGACGAGCCTGTCCTAACTCCTTCCCCACTGCAGGTGCCCCTGCAGTCACATGCTTTTGTCAAATGATCTGCAGCTTTAGGCTGCTCCCTCTGCAGAAAAGAATACAGGGAAAAACAGAGAGAGTAAAAAATACATATATAGAGCTCTTTGCTGGAAACCGCACAACCTCCCAGCTTATAACGCACAACCATCTTTTCACCTCCCTAGCCCCAAAGTCGGCACTGGACAGCAGCACAGCCCGAGGTCAGCCTCCCCTCCCAAACCCAGTTGGTCCACCCAAGAGGAATAATGCTTGCCAAGGGGACCTGCTGATGTCTCACCCTGGATGAGAAACGCAGATGTATTACCAACTGAGCAAGGAAGGAGACGAATTAAAAAGTTGAGTCTCTCTCTCTCTAAATAGGGGGGCCCACCAATTGCTGAGCCTTTCCACCACGCTCTCAGCTTCCTCTGCCTCCAACAAACTTTGTGACTCACAGTCTGTTCACAGAGTGAGGCAGCTGAGCAGCCTCAGTGATGGGTTAAATTGGGAACTTGCTCTTCTCCAGACACTCACCCCTCAGGTGCAGCTGGAGCCCCTACACTGCAGTGGGGGTGGGAGGTGAGCACAGCTCCAATTCCGGCTGGCCCTGCAATAGGGCCAGAGACCTGGGTTCTAACGGACTCATGTCCACTGGGATCACACACACAGCGCTTGGAGAGACTAGGGGCTGGGTAATGCAGTCCATTCCTATACTGGTCTGGGTTTCCAATGCTCTACTCATGAGAGCTGCAATGTGGGTCCCAGCATGTTTTGTTGTTTTTGTTTTGTTTTTCTCACCCACACTACCTGCAGAACCGAAGAATTCCTGGGAAATTATCAAACAAAGCAGTGCATCATCAGGGTCTGGCTAACTGTTGCACAACAACTGGGGCATGGCTGTGGACGAGGGGAAGAGAGGTCAGAGCTGTGCTGCACCCTCTCAGCAGCGTCTCCTCCCCTCGCCGCCGCGGAGGGCAAATCTGGAAGTTAGGGAAGCTGGATCCCGCGGCCAGGCGGCAGGGGCAGGCGGAGGCCACGTCCATCCAGGGGGGCGAGGTGAGGCTGCCGGCACGGCTCGCTCTCCGGCCCTCTGCACCGCTGGCGCCGCCTCCCGCATCCTCGGAGCCGGGCACAAGGCCGGCAGCGAGCGCTCCGCTCAGCCCTGGACCGGCTTCCCGCATAAAACTCCCAAGCACAACCCGCTTTTGTTAATTCTGCAAACGCCGCCACACGACCTCCACCGACACTCCCCGTCTGCTCGGCTCCAAGAGAGACACGCTTTCCGCAGGGCCCCCAGCCCGCGACGGACCCCCGCCCGCCGCCCCCGGCGCCCGCACTCGGGCCCGAAGGACCCCAGGGCCCCCGGCTCGAGGCATCTTTGTCTTCCCAGCACAAGGCGCGCGCACGGAGCGGCCGAAACAGCCCGGCCGGGCACCGAGTCGGCGCCCTCGCCCCGCGCCGGGGCCACGCAGGGGCACAATGGTGCGCGCCCTGGAAGTTTGCGGAGCCGGCCCCCGCGGGCCGGAGCGCGGGCGCGCAGCCCTCCTTACCGTACATCTCGGCGGGGCGCGCGCCTCCCGGAGGCCGGCGTCGCCGCGTCGTTTCCAGCCAGCCCCCGGAGGCGCCTGCCTTTCATTCACAGCCGGGGCGGGGGCTGGCGGCGGCCGGCGGAGGCCCGGGCGGGGCGCGAGCAGGCGCGGGGGCCGGCGCGGGCGGGACGGAGCCGGGCGGCGCGAGCCCATTCAGCGCCCGGCGGGCTGCGGCGCCTCCGCTCGGCTCCCGGGCCGGCGCGCGCAGAGGGCGGAGCTATGCTAATGAGCGCCCCGCCCCCCGCGCGGCCGCTCCGGCCTCCGCCCCGCCCCGCCCCGCCGCGGCCCCCACGAGGACTCCTGAACCCCGAGATGCGCCTTTTCCGAGGCTGTCTCCCTGCTGGCTGCCTCGTTCGCCTGGGGAGGGGCACCGACCCAAACTCCCTACTCCTGTCGGGGTGCTCAGGCCGACAGCTAAGATCTCCCCTAACCTGAGGCTCCGGGGAAGCTGCAGGTGTACCCCATCCTCAGCTTTGTCCAGGCTGCGTGGCTGAGCAGGGAGCGCAAGGACTAGGAATTGGGGGACAATCCTCCACCCTCCCTTGGCTCCCTCAGCTAAACCTCATTCTCTAATGAAGCCCTCCAGCCCTCAGCTGCGCCCTCTCAGCCACTCTCTGGCCAGGTACTTGCTCCCGAAGAGCGTCCTTCCCGCGCTAGGTACGCAGGAAACGCACCCCACTCCCAGCCCCCAAGTGCGGCAGGAAGTCCGCTTGCTTTTCCTCTCCCAGATGTATACGTGCAATCTGCAAGCTTTGCCGCCAGGCCTCTCCAGCTGTGTCTCAGGGCCGAATTGAATTCGGTTTCCACCTGCCCTGACCCTGTGAGGAACAGACACAGAGGGACAGAAGGCTCCTGCCAGCGCCCCGCACCCTGGAGATCTCTCCTAGCCTAGCTCAGGACTTCACCAGCGCTCCTCGCCCGGCTGCCTCCTCTACATTTCACGCGTTGCCCTGGCCTGTCAGTGTCTATTCCTTAGTTTCTCCTTTTGCCCCATGTTGAGGTTTTTTTTTTCTTTCCCTGACTAGTAAGAAAGGTAAGAGAGGTTAGAGGAGGGACCTTAAAGATAGTGCTATACCCTTCATTTTACTTCATTTAACCTTAAGAGGTTAATTAGTGTTCTACTTCCTAGATGCACTGGGCTGTGTGTCTGTAGGCCAGTCACCTACCCTCTCTGAGCCTCAGCTTCCTGCAGGACTGTTGGGAATAAAAGCTACATGAAAGTACACAGTGAGCAGTCATATTATATATACATATATATATATACATATATATATATGTATATATATATATATTTTTTTTTTTCCTTCCTTCATGGCCCAAGGCAGGGCCAGGGCCAGAGAGAGAATTCAGGTTGCTAGACTCCTGAAACAGTGCTCTCTCTGCTGTATCCCAAACCCATGTTTCCTATTTCTCTCTGTTCTCACCACCGCCAACCACCCCCCTTGCTGTTCCCAGGTTTTGTTCCCGTTCCTTTAACTCTTTACTTCTCTTAGCAGCATGCCAGCCCAAGGGAAACTCTGGGATGGTTCCTGGAACACACATTTAATCTAAACCCTCTGGCAACTGACAAAGAAGCACTGTCTCTGTTCTTCAGTTCCAAGACCAGGCCAGGTGGCTTTGAGGTCTCCATAGAGTCTAATTTATCATTTGTGTCCCATGCAGTATTTGAGACATACAAAAAAATGTATTCTGTTTGTTTTCTCAAATGCATATTCAACCTATGTTCCATCTGGTGACTTTAGTTAGCGCCATCCTTTGGCAGGTGCCCTTGGATTGCCATGACTGAACCAGGCCTAGAGTAGGCCTCCCCTCCCATGCTCCCAATCTGCATTCCCAAATGGATCCCACTGGTGTGTGGTTCTAAGGACACAGGGATAGGGTCCTGGCCAGCCTGCACCCTTTGGCCTGGGTGCTGTGTTACAGGGGACTGAGGCCCTGCATATGCAAGCTTCTCCAACCCTCCACATTGCCTGTGAGAACCACGAGAAGAGGCACCTATTCTCTGTTCTCCATGGGCTCAGCAGCCAACCCTGGGCCCCATGTGCCCAGTGGTGAAGGAATCTGGTCCATGCCCAGCTTCTCTGGGGTGCAGTCAAGATGTTTGGATAAAAGGCATGCAGGAAGTGGTGCCGTAGTGTTACGTATGAGGAAGCAGACTGTTGGAGGGAACACAGTCTGCTGGCTCAAAGTTTAAAACAGAAGAGCAGAACTCGAGGGTCCCAGTTTCTAGAATTGTGTGCCCACGAAGAAACGCTAAGCAGAAACCAGCTATTTAGGTGAACTATGGAAAGGAGGGAAAGTCAGAATTGGGATTCCTTTCTTAAAGTGGTTTTTACTTTATCTGCAAATCATGGTGATGGGTACGACAGGAAGGAAAGAGGAAAGGAAATCACATTTACTGAGTGCTACAAATGCAGCAGGTCTGTGCCAGGTGCTTTACAGGTTATCTATCCCAGGTAACACTCTCAGCAGCCTTGCAAGGTCAGTGCTATTATTCCCATTTTGCAGCTGGGAAACTGAGGCCCGGAGAGGTCAGACAACTCTCTAGTAAGTGGGTGGGCAGAGATCCAAGCCCAGGACAGTCTGCCCGAGACCCATTTTCTTCCCACCCCCCCGTGCTGCCTTGCAGCAGTGCACACAACAGCGTTTCACATCGAGTTTAGGGCAGACTCCTCAGCCATCTAACGACCTGCGCCCCTTCCCTCCTTTTACCTGCATTTGCTCCTCTGCCTCATCTGTATTTCATGTCCCTGTTACCTGGGTTTGGAGGGTAGGGATTGGAGAGGGTCTCAGGCCATCCAGACCCAACCAGGTCACCTCATTTCCACCCTCCCTCCCCCAGCCTCATCAGTGGAGGCACCTGTGGCCTTGGCCTCCTGGGACTGGTTTGGTCAGTCAGAGGAGCTAAGCCTTAGAAAAAGTTAGTATTCTTGGGCCAAAGTGCGTCCTGATTAACGTGGTCACTCTGAACAGTGTCCCTTGCTGTGACAGCTCAAATGATGCCCTCTGCCGTGAGCAAGCACTGCAGGAAGGCCCGGAGTTTCCATCTGACCCGGAGGCTGAAGCTCCTGCGCTTCGGGGAAAGGGAGGCGTACGAGTGGGAGGCCGTCTACAGCCACCGCATGAAACCCAGGAAGCCTTGCTAGCGTTCTAGGCTTCAGTGTCCACGGCACCAGGGCCTGTCCTGTGGTGACAGGAGTCTGGCTTCCTGACCCTCCCCTCAAAACGCCCCAGCAGCTCAACCGTGTCTGCACAACAGCCTCTAATGTCATCAGCCCCGCGATTGCGCAGCTCCTGCTCCTGGAACCAGCCTTGAGCAGCCACCAGGCTGAAAGCTCCTCCCAAGGGAGGAAGGAGGGAAAAAGGTGACAGCCCCAGGGGGATATAGCATCTCTCTCTCTCTCTCTCTCTCTCTCTCTCTCTCTCTCTCACACACACACACACACACACACACACACTCGGGCGCAGGAGACCTAGAGAAGGGCCCAGAGAGACCCAGAGGGGAGAATGAGCCCCTAAGGATTGCCAAGTAGCTGATTAGCTGTAAGCCAGGAATGGAACTCAGGATTCCTGACTCCAGGCTGGGCAACTTGAACCCCCAGCACTTCTCCCTCGAAGCAGGTTAACTACCTTGACCTACTTCTTGGACGCCATAGGGAAAGAGCAGCCTGTAAAAGCAACGCCCAAGCATGGGAGTGGGTGGGTATCCAAGGGCTGCAGAATGCGTCTCCACAGCATGCAGATGGCTCAGGAGCTTGGTCAGCAGGACACGCTCTTGTCACCAAGGTTGCTGGGAGCTGTCTGGGGCTGCAGGAGGGACGCAGGAGGGCAGAGCTGCCTGCTGCCAGGAGACCAGGCCCTGGGTGGCAGGGTGTGGAGAAGGCTGCCACAGACCAGGGTTACCACAGTGCCAGTAGAGTTTGAGGCATGGAAGTTCCACCTGGTGGGCTGGGAGGGAGTCAAGAAAGACATCGGGGAAGGAATTAGACATGGAAAGGAGGGGAAGAAAGTTCTAGAGAAAATCATAACATGAGCAAAGGCAGGTGTTGGGAAGTGACAGATATTTATGGAGAAAAGCAAATGGCTCATTTGACCGGAACACATGCTAACTGAGGGGTCTGGTGAGAGGTGCAGTAAGAAAGCAGGTTTTGGCCTGGTCACAGAAGGCCTTGGGTACCAGATAAGGAGTTTGGTCTTTATTTGGTGAGGAAGATTCTTCAGGCAGCTATGGGGATATCAACAATGTGATATACTGCAAATAGGTGGAGGAGGATGAGGACCAGAAAGCGCTGATGGATATGGAACTAGAAGGTCATCAATGACCGACACATTTCCTCCCTGACTCATGACCACCTCTTTGAGAAAGATGGTTCCTGACATTAAGAGCATCAGAGGTGTACAACAGGGCTGTGTAGAGCAAAGTCTCTCCCCTCCTCGTCTTTCCCAGAAAGGAATGGGAAGAAATTATAAAATTCTTCTGCATCCCTGTGCATTCCTTCTCTCCTCCGCAGCCCACTGGGGTTTCCCACCCAGAGATTGGAGGCAGGGCCCTGGTCAGGACTCAGGAGGAGGAACTCTTCGACAATGTGTCCTGTCTCATCTCTCAGGAATCTAAGAGTGGCAGGAGGCAGCTGAACTCAAGGCCAGCCAAGAGAAGAGAGAACTCAAACGGTGACCCTTGGGTTTAAGGGCTGTGGGAGGGAAAGGGCAGGAGAAAGGAATTAGTATTTGCCAAGTTCCTGATAGGTGTTATGCACTGCACCCAGTACCCAGGACCCAGTGCCTGGCACACAGTAGGTGCTCAACACATACATTGAGTGAAGCATCTTATTCCATCTAAGCTTTAAAATATCCTTGAACTAGATTGGAATTAGGCAACTCATTCTTTTTTTTTGAGACAGAGTCTCACTCTGTTGCCTAGGCTAGAGTGCCGTGGCCTCAGCCTAGCTCACAGCAACCTCGAACTCCTGGGCTTAAGTGATCCTCCTGCCTCAGCCTCCCGAGTAGCTGGGACTACAGGCATGCACCTCCATGTCCAGCTAATTTTTTCTATATATTTTTAGTTGGCCAATTAATTTCTTTCTATTTTTAGTAGAGATGGGGTCTCACTCTTGCTCAGGCTGGTTTCAAACTCCTGACCTTGAGCGATGCTCTCACGTCGGCCTCCCAAAGTGCT